ATATATATATATATATATACTATATATATATATATATATATATATACTACTATATATATATATATATATATATATACTACTATATATATATATATATATATATATAAATATACACACATACATTATATATATATATATATATACATATACATATACATATATATACGTATACGTATACATATAATATAGTATAATATAGTATAATATATATATGTATATGTATATACGTATAGCACAGACATTATCCACACTTCTCTCAGTCCCAATATATAAGTGAGGTCAGCAATCAACAACGATAACATTTAGAAAAACATGAACAAAGTATAAAACCCGGAGCAGACAAGCCTTGACGAGAAATGTACATACATACAAAACATATAACTCGCCTGAATAAGCTGCAGGCAGTCGTCTACTAGATGCTGGTAGCTTCTCACCATAGCGCTAACATCCTCGAGACGCCCCTCCGGCCCGCTATAGCCGTGTGACTCGTGATCCATCAAAACAACACTCATCCCACTCTCCTCCACGAGTTTCTCGCCGAACTTCACAAACGCCTTCCGATTGCTGTGTGCGGCATAGCCATGGTAGAAGAAGAACACACCTGTACTCGGTTGATGGCGGGGATGAAACTGGCGCACGTGTAGCCGGATACCACGTTCATTGGTGAAGAAGTTGTCTGTGCGGTTTAGATTGTTTTCAGCCATTGCAACGGATATCTGATGAACAGAGCAACAGTTTGAGAAATGGACAGGCACTAAATTTTGATATATACGTATATACAAGAATAAATATAAATATAGATAAAAAAATAAATATATATAAAGATATATATATATATAAATACAATTATATATTTAGAAATATAAATATATATATATACAAATATATAAATCTATATCTATATTTAAATCTATATGCATATGTATATATATATATATATAAAATATAATTATAAATAGGAATATATATATATATATGTATATTTATATACATATATATATATCATACATATATAACTATCAATATAAATATAGTGTTAAAACGTATATAAGCGCTTTGTGCGAAATCATAAAACAGCCGCCGTCCTCCAGGACCTATATAGTTAAATACATACATATCTAAATGTAAAAATAAATAAATAATTATATATATATACATATATATATGTATACTTACACACACACACACACACATATATATATATATATACATATATATAATTATATTTATAAAAACATATATACCGTTACATCGATACACAATATATATCTATCTATATATATATGCGTATATGAGTATATTCATATGCATATATATATATATATATATATACATACATATATATATAAATATGTATATATATATACACATAATATACATATACACACACTTGCATACTTACAAAAACACACACACACACACATATATATCTATATATATATGATTATATATACATATCTATATACATATATATATATATAGATAGATATATAAATACATAGATATATATATATATACATATATATACTATTTATTTAATATATATA